GGCGGTCGGTCCCTGCTCAATGGGGGGGCACCCGCGGCCCATCGAAGTGCGGATTTCGAGGTGTGGGGGGCGTCTTCGTCGGTGTCCGGGGGCTTTCCAGCCGCCTCGTGGTGCTCTCAAGCAGCTGCGCCCACCCACGGGCGTCCTCATTGGGGGGGGGGCCAGACCATCCCGAACGACCGCCCGAGAGCCGAGTTATGTAACGAAGACCACAAGGGGCAACGATCGGGGGGGGGGTAGGCATAGGGGGGATGCGTTGGGCCCTGGAGCCTCGGCCAAGAATTGATCCGGGACGAAAGGCTGGCCCAGGGAAGCGTCCGGGGCCTCTGGGGCCGCGGACGCTGCATCTATCACACCGGCGGATGTCAAGGGTTCGAAGTTTTCGGGCGCTTTCGTCGGTCTTTCGCATCCCATGCAGCACAGCACATGCCACCTATTTTCTGTGCGTCTGGTTTCCCGTTTAGGTCTTAACTTAACCCTTTTTGCGCTCCCTGAGCGAAGGATCCAACCATATGCGGGTACGAGTGCCGCAAGGCAGGTGGGACGCAGGAGGGGCAGGTCCCTATGGCGAAACGAAACGCGTGAGGGGTGGGCCGAAACATGTGCGGGGCCGCAATGCGGACCCTGCCGCTGGGGCCTTCGGTGGAGCTCCTTGTGGGGCCACGAAACGTGTGAGAGATGTGCCGATTCCCCGGAAGTCAGATCTCTAAAACATTCAAGTCAAGCCCTCGTCTGCTGGTCCCAGGGCCCGAAGCTGGCCTCCAGAGGTCCAGCATGGCGGAAGAACCTGCCGCCTCGACGTCTCCGAGTCGCCTGCTGAAGAGAGCGATCCTTGCAAGCCAGGTCCTCGGGGCCGAACCCGGGTCGAGGCTCGAAGCGGCCCCGGCCGAGAGGAGAAAGCCTTCAGTCAGTGGCCTCGGCGAGCCCGCCGGGAGACCAGCAGGTCCCGGGGTGCGGTAGCAAACCATGGGAGCCCGGTGTATTTTGGAATTCTACCTCTCGCGTCGACCAGTGTCGATCAGCGTCTGGGAGTCGAGGAGGTAGCGCCGATTTAGCGTCGACTTCGCGTCGATTAGCGCGTCGATTCAGCGTCGATTCAGCGTCGACTCGCAAGAGCCGACAATATGGCACAAGAGGCTCCCGTGAGTTGCCACCGAACCGTGGCTCCTCCTGGTCTTCACGCAGACCACCTCGTGCTGTGCAAGTTTCGGCCCCTGGGGGCCCGAGTCCGTGGCCTCTCAGCGGGCCCGCTGGGAGGCCAGCAGGTCCCGTGGCTCCTCCTGCTCACCACGCATACCGCCTCGTGCCGTGCACGAAGGGCGGCGGAAGGGCGGTCGGCAAGTTTCGGCCCCTGGGGGCCCGAGAGCGTCGACGAAGGGCGGTCGGCAAGCTTCGGCCCCTGAGGGCCCCTGGGGTCTCGGGGTGTGAAGTGTCGGCCCTGTGGAGAGGTGGGGTCCAGACCTTTTTGGGGGGAGCGCGTGGCGAAAAAAAACACGGCGTCGGAGGTCTGGGCAGCATCCAGTGAACATAATGTCGAGCATTCGGAAGAGATGTTGAGCATCTCGTCCAAATGCTAAACGTCCTGTTCACTGGATGTAACGTATCTTCCTTGTCATTCGTTGGCGGTGTAGTTCATAGTTGCTGTGTCGGCCCTGGTCCACTTCCTGTGGCTCTGACGTGTGTTATCCCTCTTTCTTCGCCTTGCTCGGTATCCGATTCCTTCTCGGTACCATTTATTATTTCGTTTCGCCCACCCTGATGTTCGACACATGTGGGCATGAGGGAGAGCCCGTGCCATCTGAGATTGGAACATACTTGTCCACTCGAGCGTGCGGAGATGAGAATAACTGTGCGTGTATTCGACCACGTTGTGGTTGCCGCAATCAGGAGCGATCGGTCCCGTTTAACCATACCGTACCCCAGCCGATGCGAAAACATCAGTTTCCGGATGCTCGCGTGCACGCATGCGTGCGTGCGTGTTGGCGCTCCCCTTCGACCCAACCCCAGAGGCACGCGTGGGCCAACAGTTCCCAGCACCGCGCGTCACCCTGGCCAGGGGCCCGTCGACCCGGCGGGTTTGGGCGTCGCCGGTCTGTGCCAGCCGCCTGCACGTTCTCCGTCGTGGTTTTTTCACGTTGAATGGATTTTTATCCTCGCCATCGTAGCGTTTGTGAAAGAGTCGCCTGGAAGTGCCGACGTAGGCCATGGGGCCAACAAATTACGCCTGGCGGGCGCAGCAGAACTCGAAGGAGGCTACAGAGACATGGTGAGTGATCGCAAGCCCGTGAGAGCCGTTCTCCGTCGTTGAGGAGAGGCCAAGTCCCGACAGACAAAGCCCAGACGAAGACCGAGTCCTCCTCATGGACTTTCTCCATCTGGACTTAGCATCCTAGGAGGAGGTTCTAAGTCCCGACAGACTAAGCCCAGACGAAGACCGAGCCCTCCGCATGGACTTTCTCCATCTGGACTTAGCATCCTAGGAGGAGGTTCTAAGTCCCGACAGACTAAGCCCAGACGGAGACCGAGCCCTCCGCATGGACTTTCTCCGTCTGGACTTAGCATCCTAGGAGGAGGTTCTACGTCCAGGCAGAGTAAGCCGAAGACGGAGACCGAGCACTCCGTATGGACTTACCCCACCTGGACTTAGCATCCTAGGAGGAGGTGCTAAGTCCAGACAGAGTAGGCCCAGACGGAGACCGAGCACTCCGTGTGGACTTACCCCATCTGGACTTAGCATCCTAAGAGGAGGTTCTAAGTCCAGACAGAGTAAGCCCAGACGGAGACCGAGCACTCCGTATGGACTTACCCCATCTGGACTTAGCATTCTAGGAGGAGGTGCTAAGTCCAGACAGAGTAGGCCCAGACGGAGACCGAGCACTCCGTGTGGACTTACCCCATCTGGACTTAGCATCCTAAGAGGAGGTTCTACGTCCAGGCAGGGTAAGCCCAGACGGCGACCGAGCACTCCGTATGGACTTCCTCCGTATGGACTTAGCTTCTCCTGAGCCGTCGCTCTCCTTCTTCTCTGGTCTTCTGCTCCGCTGCCAGCGGCTTCGTCCGTCTTTTCAGGAGGGAGGAATGGACAACCCGATCCCCATCATAGGCCTTTACTAAACGGCCCTGGACGTTTACCACTCAGCCCTGGCCTGTTCGATTCCTTCCTGGGGTGCGTTTACTAAACGACTTTCGCTGATCGGGGTGCGTATTATGAGGTGTTTGTTCTACTCTCTATTGGAGAGGCCTTACGGCAGGCGCCGCCGACCCTGAACGACGACGACGGCGACAACGACGACGACGACGACACCGACGGCGGCGTGGCGGCGGCGGCGGCGGCGAAGACGACGACGACGTTTATAATGGGATGTTTGTTGTGCTCTCCATGTTTTGTCACCGCTCCATGGGGGTGGGCGGTCTGACGCTACCAGCAGTGCAGTGACGGGGCTGCTTGCTGTGTGTGACCCGCGCCTACTATTTCGCTGGGTCATCTCCTCATTCTTCCCTTTTCGTTCCCATGATTCATTTTCCTCTCTTCCTCATTCCTCACGTTTCGTCCTTCCTGGCTGCCCTGCTTCCTCATTGTTCCTAATTCCCTTGTCGTCCTTCCTGGTTATCCTGCTTCCTCCCGTTTCGTCCTTCCTCCTGTTCCTGCTTCCTGGTTGTCCTCTCTTCTCGCCACGCCTCCACTCTCCTCCTCCCCCCTTCTGCCGCCTCGCAGTCACGATGGCCGTCTGCGTCTCCCAGCAGGCCGTGCCCCCCCCCCCCCCCCCCCCCCCCGCATGGCCTCGGCAGGGCCCGAGACGACCGTCCGCCGCAGAGGTGTGCCGTTCGCCCCCTGCCCGCTCCTCCCAGGGGGCGCTGCGCCGGCACGCCGCCCCTGCCATCGGTGCACGGGGGGTCGGCCGCGAGCGCGGGGGGGGAAGCGAGAAGGGGCGGTCGGGAGCCTTGACACGGGGGTCAATGCAGACGGGGGTCAGCCAGGGCGCCGGATCCTGCAGGATCTTGCGAAGACCCCTGCTGGCTGGCCCGGGTCAGCGAGCCGCTCGTGGCCGCGAGGCGGCCGCGTATATTGGCTGACCCGGGTTTGCGAAGATCTGCGTTGCAGTTTTTTTCTTGCATTGCAGTTTTTGGTTTCCCGCTGACCCGGGTCTGGATTGACCCGGGTCAGAAGATCCCCGAGGCGGGCCTTTTCGGAAGGCTCGGAAGCCCCCCGGCCTCCTGAGAAGTGTTCTCTAGGCCTCCCCCAAAAAGGCACAGACAAAACTGTTCGGCAGGCGCGAGAGGCTTCTGAGAAAACCCGCCGCCTTCTCAGACATAGAATGCCAGCTGTTGGGTGGGTCTCCCAACCTCATTCAAACTGAAGAAAACAGCACTGTAACATTGGAAGCTGGGGAGCAAAAAAAAGAAACCCCGCCGCCTTCTGAGAAGGCCTCCTCCTCCTCGCTTCCCCCCTCCGCCCGCCGCCGATGGAGGGCGGAGGTGGGGGGGGGGGGGGGCGGGGGGGGGGGGGGGGGGGGCGGAACTTCTCCTCGGGGCCGCACCGCTCACGCTGCCGCACCTGCCTGCCCAGCGTGCCGGCCTGCCCCTGCCGCGTGCCCGCCCGCCCGCATCCCTGCGCGCCCGCTCCGCCCCGCCGGCGGGGACCGCGTCGCCGCGGCGCCCGGGGCGGGGTCCTGCGCGGGGCCGCCCCGGAGCCCCGCGAGGGGGGGGCATCCCCGCCTCGCTGGTGCCCAACGGGCGTCCCGGCCAGCGCCCCCTCTGTCTCCGCCCCCCTCCCCCCCCCGCGGGTTGGAGGGGGGGGCTTGGCGGACTTGGGCGTCGCACCCAGTACGGCGCGTCGTGGCCCCATCGGGAGCTCCCACCGATGGGCCCCAGTCCCACCGCCCGCATGCGTAGCTCCCCCACCCAGGACAGCGCTCCGTGGCCCCATGGGGAGCTCCACCGACGGCCCCAGTCCTACTTCCCGCATGCGCCCCCCCCACCCAGCCTCGTGGCCGTAATGAGGAGGGCCATAACTACAATATGGGTGCAGCGAAGGCTGTAGAAAAGGGTCTCTTTGGGGCCCCATCAACGGCCCTTGACGGTCCAAAAGGGAGCCTCTGCGGGCAAGAAGAGTGCACCTTTCTATTCCCCCCCTTGTGCCGCCCCCTCACCAGGCGACGTCCGGCGGAAAAAATGATCCGGATCCGGCGCCTTCGCGGGCCGAGCCCCCTTGGCCACGGCCCCGCAGGCAATCACAGGGCGTTTTTTTGTTCGCGGCTGCCCCGCGCGGAACGTGCTCTCTCAGGTCTGGCGCTGCAAAAAGGGCAGCGCCGCCAAGAGAAACCACCGCTGGCGCCTGGGGCCCACGCGCTCCGCGTCGCTCTTCGAGCAGGATTGAGCTGCTTGAGGGCCCCAGGGCCAGAAACCCGGCGAGAACGCCACCTCGGGAAGAATCGGGGGTGGACAGAACCCCCAACAGTGACACGTCGATTCGTGAATTGTCCGTCTTCGGTTCTCGAGAGGGCGCCGTAGCCGTTATTTTCCAGGCTTGCGCCCGCCAGGTTTGACTAAACCACGTTTTGCTACGGGTCTGTCCATCCCCGACAGAGCCAGCATCCCGGCGAGCACGCCACCTCGGGAAGAAGCGCCAAGCCAGGGTCGCAGGGTGCCCGTGCGACCGCGCATCGCCACGGGATCGTGCCCCAGAGTGCCGACCTGGGATCTCTTCGGCGGCGTTCCTGGTGGAGACGGGAGCACGCCTCCCCGCGTGGCCCATGTTTGGCTTGGCGCGCGGCTGTGGCCGCGCAGCGTCGGCCTTCGCGTGCGCGGCGCCTCTTCGGTGGTGCCGTCTGGCCCCCACTCATCAGAATAGAAGAAGATCGGGTATGGCCAGGACCCCAGGTTAGTGGAACTTGAATGGGGGGCGCCCCCGGTACAGATCCTTAAACCATGTTCCACTAAACCCAGTTCTGCCAACGCCCAAGAAGACCTGCCGATGCTGCCACCTCTCTCCCTCCCGAGACCACCTGGCATCGCGGAAAAACAACTCGGCTGAATTCCCTTCGAAGTCTGGGTCAGAGCGCACCCGGGGAAAGTCCGAGGAGGAGGGGTATCCGTGTCATCTTCTTGCCCCCCCATCTTCCTCCTGCGTTGCCCCTCGCTGCCTGCGCGGCACCGTCTCCCGCACCCCGACAAGCAATCAGAGTCCACCCCTGATCAGGTTCCACGCGATTTTGCTCGCCGCCGTGGGCTGAGCTCCATGGCCAAAGTATCGATGAGCGCGTCCCGCCTGCCAACATTCCACGAGCTCGTCACCGTGGCGCCGATGGAGAAAAAAGTGTATGCTTGCGCCCGCACGCATGTGTGTGTGTGTGTGTCTGTGTGTCTGCGTGTCTGTGTGTGTGTCTGTGTGTCTGTGTGTCTGTGTCTCTGTGTGTCTCTGTATCAATGTGTCTGTGTGTCTGTGCGTCTGTGTGTCTGTGTGTCTGCGTGTCGGTGTGTGTGTGTGTATGTATGTATGTGTGTATGCGTGTATGTGTGTAGTATGTGTAAGTGTGCATGTGTGCGTACGTGTATGTGTGTGTGGGTTTTGTGCATGTGTGTGTGTCTGTGTGTATGTGTGTCTGTGTGTATGTGTGTATGCGTGTATGTGTATGTGTGTGCCTGTGCATCTGTGTGTGCCTGTGTGTCTGTGTGTATGTTTGTATGTGCATATGTGTATGTGTGCCTGTGTGTCTGTGTGTCTGCGTGTATGTGTGTATGTGTATGTGTGTACGTGTGTATGCGTGTATGTGTATGTGTATGTGTGTTTATGTGTGTGTGTGTGCGTGCGAATGTGTGCATACGTGTTTGTATGTGTGCGTGCCTTTGTGACTAGGTATATATGTGTGTATGTGTAATGTGTGCATGCGCGTATGTGTGTATATGTGGATGTGCGTATGTGTATGTATGGTGTGTCTGTGTGTGTGTCTTTCCGTGTGAATGCGTGTGTCTGTCTGTGAGTATGTGTGTATGTGTGTTTGTGTGTATGCGTGTATGTGTGTATGTGTGTATGTGTGTGCCTATGTGTGCATGTACGTGCGCGTATGTGTATGTGTGTGTCTGTGTGTCTGTGTGTATGTGTATGTGTGGGTGTGGGTGGTGTGCTTGGTGTGGGTGGTGGAGGTGGGGGTAGGGGGGGGGTCAAGGCACCCTCCAGAAAGCAAACCGTCTAGCTCATCACTCCCACCCGCACTCCCAACACATAAGTAACACCCGAGTCTCAGCATGTTCCGCGGTCGTCTTTTGATGGACAGCTACTGGGAACCAAAACCGAGCCCATGTGCGCGACGTTGGGGCGAGGTGCGCCACGTGTGCCAGGTGCGCCACGCGCGCCAGGCACCCCAGGCTCCCAGTGCGCCAGATGCTCCCTCCTGCCGCGCCAGGTGCGCCACGTCCGGGGCACGTGCAGAGTGTGTCAGGTGCGCCCGTGCACATGACAGCACAAATCGGGAAAGATGTCGGCCCCCATCATCCCTGTCGGAAGCCGATGCCCATCATTGTGTCTGGTTGGCCTGCGCACAGCAGGCCATACACCACCACCCCCGCCGTCCCTGACAAAAACCACTTGACAATGATCGCGGGGTGGCCGCGCACAATCCACATTTAGCCGCGATGTGCATATTGTATTGTGTGCTTGTCAGAGATGGTAGCCCTGCGCGCCCCAGGCAATATGCTAAAACAATTAGAAGTGCCCGCGGGCCTCACGAACATGACTCCAGACCTTGCCCCAAACTTATTGTGTTTTGCTTTTTGACAGAGATGGCTGGGGGGGCGCATCTGGTTGGTTGCGCATGCTCCGAAGTTGGAGGCAGAGTGCGTTTTGTATTGTTTTTGATCGGGATGGTGTGGGGGGGGGCCTCATGGTGTGCGCATGGTTCCGGGTTGGCTGCCGGCCGGGGTGGGTTCAAGTTAGCCAGCTCGAACGAGCCAGAGGGCTCCGTCCACTCCCAGCAGCCCTCCCACAACATAAGTAGCAAGTGCGTCGCGTCCGACGCCTGTCGCTCATCTTATATCGTGGGCGGATATACGTTCAGCGCGCGACACGAACTGCGTCCTATTCCTACCGCGTATTGAGCAACGCCGACGAGAAATAAGACCGCGCGCAATGTGCGCCGCGCCCCGCTCCGGCCTCTCATGTTGCATCGTCGGCGACAACATGTTTAGCGCGCGAAGCGCGCCGCCGCATCTCATTCCAGCCACGCGCGTTGCACCACCAATCGTTTCGCTCCTGCCGCGCGTGGAGGAGGGTGAGGAGAAGGAGGAGGATGAGGAGGAGGAGGAGGAGGAGGAGGAGGAGAGGGGGAGGGAGAGAAGGCGGGAGGGAGAAACTGATGAGGAAGAGGAGAATGCCTCTTGGGAATTCGCGGGGTGCCCTGGGAGCTTTCTGCATACGCCTGTGGGCCTCTTGGATATATCTTCCGGATTGGAACATTGTCAACACAAGTAGGTGCTGACCCCGCAATCTTTCAAACACCAAATGAAAATCAATATTTGTGCTGCCCCCCCAGGACCTGCTGGACTCCTTTTTTCGACCTTTTGGGGGTCTCCGGAGGTACTTGCTTGAACCGCATTTGCTTGAGGCATTATGATTTGCCGCTCGCCCAGCTCCTCAACCCGACGGGCCGCAGCGTCGACGACAAGAAAGTCCATTTTGACGAGCAGGCGTCCCTGCGAGATGCGCGCCGCGTCCCATTCCCGCTACGCAATTCGCAGCGCCGACGAGGAAAACGCACATGTTGGCCAAAAAAAAACGTCGACGTTGCGGTGTTTTTTGGCGGGTAAGACGGGGGGTCCCG